AGGATAGAAGATGCCGATTGACGTTACATTTAAATTTTTGAAGATTTTAGTTATCAGGGAAGCAAGAAATCGGAAGGGAGTTCCACAGGTGCGAAATGCGAGAAAAGTAACTGTTTGAGTAGAAATGGCGGTTGCATTTAGCTATTTCGATTGTAGACGGGTGGGACCTAGATGCCAATCTAGTAGCAGGCTTAAATTCAGGTGTTGGGTTACAAATGGCAATTATCTCCCCTTTGTTGAGATAGTCACGAGGATCACGTGACGGTCGGTGAATGACGTCAGAAGATATGTTGACGAAAGGAGTAGATGGACGTCTCTAACCCACAGCGGCATGCCCTGCAGGAAAAAACCACATGGCCTAACCTGGTTCGTAGAGAAACTCCCGTAACTCCAGTTTTCCCTCCGGGAAATATTACAAGTAAACTTCCCCTTTCTTACACACCGTTTACATATGGTATAATTTCTCTGCGTGGGGCACATGTATATATATCTAATTTTGTGTACAACGTAGCATTATAAACCTCTCCGAGAACCAAGCATGTTTATTATTCTTTTTCCATTCAGCTATTCCGTCCTCTATGTGAACTATGGTGTTGTTATATCACGGATATAACAATGTCCATAACGAGACCGTTGTATGTGTGGAAATACATATTTCTTTCCGTCGCTCTTCGTATAATGGTTTTGGGATTTCGACAAGAACCCAAATATCCCATGAAAGTAGATTCGCTTCATTTATTTTCTTCAGAGTCATGGACTATTGCTTACTCTTGCGCTAAATCTCGTTTATTCAGTGAAAAATTCTGTTATATTTTTTTAAAAATCATTTCTCCCAAGACGATACAGTAAGAATCAGCAATATTCTTAGTCCAGATTAGGTATCTTGGCTTCAGTCACTTTCTCACTGTTTTCTAATTCTTCCAAATCCAGTACCCATTTTTGTCTTTACTGCTTTGCTTGAAGGGAACTCAATTAAGAAAAATGAATCAGTTATAACGATATCGCTGATAGATTTCCCGTCATTAAGCAGATAAGCCTTTCTATTCAAATATATTTCTGCTTCAAGTCTAAATGAATTCATCATATTTCGTTCAGATCAATATATTCACCACATTAAAACATCTTCATGAGAATAAATAGCAAACATTTGCAAATGGCGTCTTTCTCCCTTTAGATGAGATAGTCACGAGGTACAAATGACGGCCGGCAAATACGAAGTGTGTGTATGTAGGTATGTGTGGAACGTCGTGGTAATTTTTCCTCTTTATCATTTCCTTGACTCTCTTATACTCTCTACCTTTTCCTTTTTCTTCCTTTTGATTTTCTCTACGAAACTTCGGAGTCGAGGTGCTGAACGTAGCATCAATCAGCTTAGTGACAATTCCTATCTATCTATCTATCTATCTATCTATCTATCTATCTTAGTCTGTTCATATCTATCTATCTATCTATCTATCTATCTCTCTCTCTCTCTCTCTCTCTCTCTCTCTCTCTATATATATATATATATATATATATATATATATATATATATATAATTATTTATTTAAAAATATGATTCCAGCTCATGACATAAAAAAGGACTCATGTTTCAAAACAAGAGCCGAAAATTTCAATATAATTATTTAATTAAATTGAGTTAAAGTAAGCTCTGTTCCATCTTCAAGCGAAATTTTTTTGGAACAACGTATTTCTGAAATTTACGTGTTTTAATAATTGAAATCAAAATTTCCATGGTAACAGCTAGGGCGAATTGTTTAAATTGGGTAGGCGTGTGTTGGGTGTTAATAAACCTCTTATGTCGCGAGTTGGAATCATATCTTTAAATTAATAATTATATTTATGCTCTACTTTTGTATCGAGCACTATTTTTAAAAAATAATAACTAAAATACTAAGGAATTTTGGATTATTTATCTAACCAGTTCCTTCCTATTTTCTATATATTTTCACACACACACACACATACACACACACACACACACACACACACACACACACACACATATATATATATATAGATAATATTAGTGGAAAATATACATACATAGGCAGAATATATAAATACCCATACATGTATATTTTTAGAAAAAAAAAATTCCAAGACGAAGAATCCAGGTAGATGTATATATATATATATATATATATATATATATATATATATATATATATATTACAGTAGAAATCCTGGTAGGCAATGACTGACTACGACTGGTAGATTCATTCGTTTTCACACAATCTTCAGGCGCTCGGTGGCTGTAGTTTGTAGAATGAGTACCCTATATACGACTCGCCTGGTGGTATATAGGGTACATGTTCTGTGTTTGTTACATAATAATAATAGCTGGTCACTCGTATTCGAGGATATCCGTCTACTAGGCCAACTATTACAGACTCTCGTTCAAGCATATTTGTGCTTGTCCAACACCCACAGAGCCAACCTGTGGTTTAGACTGCATCTATACTGAACAGACCTTAGTTACAGTTTCTTGAAGAGAGCGTGTAATCTAGCGTGATCAACAATTTGAACAAGGCCAACACCTTCAAGCCCTCGGCCACGATGACTTGTGGCTTGGTGCTAGCACAGCTATCGACGGAACTCAAGAGTTCCATCTACCTAGTTTCACTTACAAGGCTTGGGTCAACCCGTAGTATGGTTTTCCAGGCATTTTTCAAAGGTGCCGTTGGGATCACCCCCCCCGACCGATAACATCAGGAAAATTTCCTGACAAATCGCCCATGGTGTGATTCGGACCCGGGTCATGGTCAGAAAACGAACGTTCTAACCACTCAGCCGCGCGCCCGTTTACATAAACATCCATACATACAGACAAACAAACAGGCAGACAGACAGACGTATGCATGTTAGTTCTTACATACACACCCATATTCATAATCTGTACTAAATAACCGAAACGACATCAGTTGGAGACTTCCAACAGCAGCAACAAATAAAATGGATAGCACATGTAACTCAAAGAGAAAATAATGATATAATCAAGATGTTGACATTCCACACGACTTTAAACAAATGGTTAGGAAGGAAACTCCCATAAATACTGGAAAGAGCGATAGCATCGACTAGACTTAAGAAACCGGTTTTTTTTTCTAAATAAAATGTTTCCTTATAGGTAAACGGTTCATATTACCATTACTATTCTCTTTCACTCCGTAAACCATTACGTTCTGGTGATTGGCGTGAAGTGATTATATATATATATACATATATATATATATATATATATAATTACTTTAAAAAAATATGATTCCTTCGCTACATAATAGTTCTCATGTTTCAAAATTATAATTTAGGTTCTATTTTTTAAAAAATAAAAACAAAAATACTAAAGAACTTCGGATTATTTACCTAACATATTCTTTCCTATTTTTCTATATATTTTGCACACACACACACACACACACACACACACACACACACACACACACACACACACACACACACACACACACACACACATATATATATATATATATATATATATATATATATAAATTTGCGTTGATGTGAGTTTCTGACCCTGGGTTTCACGTCCCTTGCGATCGTCAGACAAACTGATTAATTTTGAAGTTTTGCATTTATTTATGGCTGCGTATATCGGTGTTTTATAGTAGTGGGAGGAGAAATTGTCGTCGGAATGCCACTCGTAAGTACGCAGACACACATACACGCACACAGGACGTGAAACCCAGGATCAGAAATTCACATCAACGCAACTAAATATGCTAGCCCTATCGTTGATATTGAGCGCTTTCCAATAAGTACCGCGCATATATAATATACAAATAATATATATAAAAATTACATACATACATACATACATATATATATATATATATATATATATATATATATATATATATGAAACTCACTAGAGCGGAAGTCATTTTGTGTCTGGTCACATCAGACGATCATTCCATTTCTGCTTCAGTGGGTTCGGTTACGGTCAGCTAGTTACATCCGGTTCTGATCCGTTAGATTCCCGATCTTATTTAATTTGGAATATTTTTCTTTTCTTTTTTTTTTTCTTTATATTTTCCCCTTTAATTATCTTTCATCTTTTCTACTTTATGACTGATCATCCGCCGGACTGACTGATTGACTGGGATGTTTTCTTCTGTCGTCTACATCGTCCTGTCTTCTTCGCCATTATGAAAATCGCAAACACTGACCTTTCCTTTGATGTTCCTTTATTTTGGGTATTTACGATACAAATGATTATTGTACAAAATTTACAAAAAAAACAAAAAAACAAAACAAAAAAAACAAACCAAAAAAACAAATACCGCGTAAAAATAGTGGACATTCCAGGTAGAGATCATTCTAATCTCTGGAGTGCCTTTCACATCCTCGCCCAACAGACATGTTTACACACCTCCCTATCTATCTATCTATCTATCTATCTATCTATCTATTTCAGTCTGTTCATATCTAAGTCTGTTCATTATCTATCCATCTATCTATCTATCTATCTATGTTTCTATGTATCTTAGTCTGTTCATATATATTTATCTATTCTATCTATTTTAGTCTGTTCATCTATCTGTTCATTATTATCTATCTATCTATCTATCTAAGTTTGTTCATATGTATCTTAGTCTGTTCTATCTATCTATCTATCTATCTATCTATCTATCTATTTATCTAAGTTTGTTCATATGCATCTTAGTCTGTTCATATATATTTATCTATCTATTTCAGTCTGTTCATATCTAAGTCTGTTCATTATCTATCTATCTATCTATCTATCTAAGTTTGTTCATATGTATCTTAGTCTGTTCATATCTATCTATCTATCTATCTATCTATCTATCTATCTATTATGCATTTAATAATTATTCTAATAAACTGAAGATATAACTATGTCTGTTTATTTGTTTCTTTCTTGGTATGTTCTAATACTTCGCGTTCTGTTAATAATCATCTCGCTCTCTGCCTGTCTTCCGTTCTTAGCTTGTTATTTCTTGAGTCTGTTTCTATCTATGTTTATATATTGGTCTCTCGCTTTTTTAAAGGTCTGTTTCTATCTATCTATCTATCTATCTATCTATCTATCTATCTGTGAATTCCTGAGATCAGAAATTTATTTGATTTTATTTGATTTATTTGAACTGGTATCCTCTTGCTTTCACTTTCTCTTTCGCACTATCCTTTGGTAAATCATGACTCCGTCTGTTCTCTCACCGCCAGCTATGGCTTGAATTTAACCATCTGAGTAAGAACGGACACAGGTAAGTGTGACACTGAGATCCGAAGACGTCTCAAAATAGCGAATTTCCAGAAACTAAGGAAAACATGGGCAAGAACATTTTGTTAGAAACAATGAAAAGTTATCTATCTATCCTCCTGTACGGCATGAATACAGATGTAGAAGATACTCGAAGCGACAGAGATGTGGCTCTACAGAAGGATGCTGAGAATACCATGGACAGGAACCGTTGGCAACGAGAAAGTTTTGATGTAAAAAAGAGTTAAGAAGACACACATTCTTATAATCAGAAAAAGAAAGTTGAAAATTCTGGGGCACATCATGAAGAAGGACGATTTGGAAAATTTCCCTTTAATACTATGCAGATTTTTCGGTTAGAAAGTGCCATGGGTCCTTACCTATAACTACAGAATGAAGTCTTGCTAACACTATGTATACTACGCCTCTCAACAGAGAGGGTCGAATCAAGCCGAGAAGCTCGGCTTGACGGTCGAACTCTCTGCCTCTGAGCTGAGAGGAACCCGGACGAGGCTCCGCCGAAGGGCAGAGTCTCGTTCGGGGAGGTTTATACGGGTTCTAAGGGCATTTTTTGGCCGAGCCTACGGGCTCGGGAAACCCACGTTAAACTCGGCCTTGTGCCACATGCAACCCTCGTGGAGGGGTGGCTAGATACCGAATCGAGTCGAGCCGATAGTAGTTCACTCTAAACCAGACTGACAGTCATACTAACACCTTCCACATCTTGTATTATTATTTCGTGTAATATAACTTCGTTATTTCTACTCTCGTGTTCGTGTTGTTCTTCCTTGGTCCTAACCTGGACCATAACAGAAAGCATAATTGGTTCCCACTGATGCTAGATAGAAAAATGAATATTAGTCTATATTCCATATGATTTTCCGCAGTAAGAGACATACTTTGAGAAACACTTCTACAGAATAGTTATTTAAATAAAAAAAACAACTTTTTTTTCATTAATACTGGGTGCCGAGTTAATTAAAATCATTTGAGAAATGAAATAATTGCTCTTTTCACCTTCACTTCTTATTAGTTGTAATCGAGAGATTCATTAATTAGATCCCAAAAGGCTCTGTTTCCGACGGTCTATAAAATCTTGGCAGTCGGTTAATAGGGGAGAACATTTACTGCTTCCAGCACGGTCATTCGGAACAATAAAATACATTTTATCAGAGTTTATGGAACAATTTAATGTTTTCATCATAAAATTGGTATTAATTCCCCGTTAGTACGGTGGAGTGCTTGAACACCTCTCAAAATGTTTTTCCTTAATATTTAGCCAGTGGCAAGTCAAATTTTCATGATTCAACAAGCAGCTTTCTGAATGCCTCCGTCAAGCATTGTCGGCTTCAGTCACTTTTCCACCTCTGTAATGTAGCTTTCCTGTGCCTTTTCTATAAATAATTCCATGGTACTTGTTCTGATGAATGTTTCTCTATGGCAGTGCTTTTCAAACTATCTGATATGGCGGACCGGCATTTTTTTTCTCAGTGTGTCACGTACCTGTAATATTTCGTGGTAATATTAATTTATACCGGAAACGAAATATATAATGAATAAAATAAAAGTTGACTATTTTTTTTATCTTTCATTTATTTAGCAAAAAATAATTCAACATTAAAACATGAAAGATTAATAATAAAATTAGCAGTTTATTAACACAAAAACAAAAATTATATAACCTTAATCTTTAAAAATGATTCCTTAGCCTGGCCTGGATACTGGCCGCGTGCTGATAGCTAATGGTTCGTGTACCGGCACCGGTCTGCGGGCCACTTTGAGTTGCAATGCTCTATTGTACTTTTCTGCTAGGATCGTTTGTCTTTGCAGACCATTTGAAGTCCAGCTAGACGTGTTTTGACACGCTACTGAGAAACCACGGTTTATTTCTTGTCCACAAAGAACTGTTAGGTTTGTTTTTTTTTTTCGTTTTTTACTGACTATTTTGTTTTTTAATTTTCTTTTTTTTAATTTACTTTTTCCTGCAACTTTTTCACCCTTCTTGACTATAAGTCGTATTTTTTTATTTTTTTTTCTAGTGTAATTTTAATTTCAGTAGTTTATTGATTTAACTTATTCTTTTAAATTGAATTTTTACTTTTTTCTTTATTTGTTATTAGAATAACTGATATAAGCTAAATTTCTTATTTTTAGCATATTTCTCTTTGTATTTTTGCTTAATCTATTTGCTTAATCTTTTTCGTATCAATTGGTCTATCCTGTTTGTCACTTTTATTTTTCTACCCGTGTTTTTCCTTAACCCACACCCAGCTTTCGTTTGCATTTAGTTGTTTATGTTTATTTTTGGTTTAATATTTTACGTGTTACTTCGACAATTTTGTTTTGTTAAGAAACGCATACCTTTATTCGTAAACTCCCACCGTTAACACTTTTCTTAGTGTAATTCAATTAATTTTTTCTCTGAGTTATTTCGAATTTTTGGCAAATTTTTATTTCTTTTGCACATGTCTTTCACACTATTTTGCATTGATTTGCAGTTTTATTTTATTTTTTTAGAAGGAAAAAAAACCTTCTACGTTGATTTATTTGTTTAATTATATTCATTCTTTTATCTTCGAACCTTTTCTTTTCTTTTTACCTAGTTTTTGTCTATTTTTTCTGATATTATTGTTCGCGTTTCCATTGTTTAATTTTTCCCTCTTTTCAATGTCATTTGTATTTTTAGGGTTTATTTTTTATTGGTTGACTGTTTTTTCTACGTTGACTTATTTATTTAAGTAGATTTATTTTTTTTACCGACGAGCATTTATGGTTTGTCTTTCTGTTCTCGTGTGTATTTGCTTTCTTCTCCTTGTAGAAGTAATTTTGTTTAATTAACATCTTTAATTTTTAATTTTTGTTTTCTTTTCCGTTTGCTTTGTTATTTAAAAAGGCAAAATCCCTTTTTGTTTTGCAAGAAAAAATATGTATAGAAGAGAAGTTTGTTCAAACAAATCAAAATGGCCAACAAAATTAGGTTGGACAAAAAAGTTCTTTTTTGGTCTAAAAAGAGACTCACCAGATAAAAATAAACAAAAAACTGAAACTAACAAAGAAACAACAAAGTTAAATGACCAATTAAGGAATTAGAAAAAGTATGGTGGCCGAAAAAGACCAAAATTCGGATAAAATACAACAGTAACAGCAATAAAAACGACAATGTAGCAGATGGGGATTCGCCCGCATGCTGAAGTCCCCACCAAAGTGCATTATCAATATGAGGGAGTTCCTAGAAAGAGCCAAGAGTTACGCACATCTTATCAAAGAAGATGGGCTTTTAGTAGACCATGAGGAATTACATAAGGTTGAAAAAAGAATTGTGTCTGTCTTTGTGGACAACAAGTATTCGAGAATAATTTGTCGCTCCACAAAAGACACCGTTATAAAGTCATTAACGTCTCCGGGCGTTAATCCTCAAAGAGTCTTAAGAGGAGAAGGTTACTTCATGTGGGACATACAGTTTCCCTTGCTTTTTGACTGTGTGGAAGCTTCGAATCGGATCCTGATAATGAAAGACCTCATATTAAGTACCGAATATGAGGGCAGGAGAAGAACCTGTTTCAGTATTTCGAGTCCCTCCTCAGATGTTAGGGGAGCATTTGACAGCTTAACTTGTTCAAATTGCGCAGATAATCAGTGCTTCCCCCGACGACTTGCACGGGGAATGGAACTTTGAATTAATGTTATATCGCAATGCCTTCACCTCCTTTCCCAAATGTCTGGATGTAGAGGGCCAGAAAATGCCATCCATTGTGACTGGCCGCAAACCAGCTTGCTGGAAGTGGGGAGAGGCTGTCACCTCTCCTCTTCCTGCCCAGAGAAGAAAGCCTATGAAGTTATGGTCCCCGACAAAGTAAATACCCATTTTGGCCGACTCTGTTATTTCTGTCTCGCCTGTAGTGGGCATGCTTGCGACCAGGATCGGTGCGGTAAAACCCACAGTTTGGTAGATTTCACAGCCCTTATTCCCCGAAAAGCCCTTGCCCGCCGTTTGTGGAGAAGGAAAAGGGGCATGACAGGTCGTTGGTAAGACCAATGGAAAGCTCCAGACAGCGGGACCTCTGTTCCCGAAAACACCCACGGGTAAAGGTACAAACAGCCCCACTTCTTCGAACAGTTGTAAGAGGGATGCCCCGACCAGCTACGCCGAAAGAATTAAACAAAGAACGACTCAAATACGAGCCGAGTTTTAAGAAACTTGAAAATCTCGAGCAATTGAACGAATCTACATCGTCGTCTAAATTATGCAAATAAAATGAAAATAATACTGACATCTCATTTTAACAGATATATTTACTAAAATTACACAAAAATATTTTGAAATACTAAAGAGTAAATGAATTCAACAAAATCGCCATTGGCTTCAGCTACCCTCCCCCACAAATGACTTCGGAATCTCCTGCATCTCTTCTGTACGGTCTCCTTGTTTAAGTTGGTGAATGCTACCAAAATCATTGCCTTCAGTTCATCTTTGGTGTTACAAGGAGTTTTGTTGATCTCTCACCCAACCACGCCCCACACATAATAATCAAGGGGGTTTCAGTCTGGGGAGTTTGGTGTACAGATGCAAGGGGTTATGTGGTCGCAGAAATTATCTGACAGCAATGACTAGATTCTTCTGCTTGTGTGGCATGGTGCAGAGTCCTGTTTCCAGACACATGTTCTTCCAGCAGCCATCCTCTTGACCCATGGCAGTACTACCTCCTCAAGGCACTTGATGTAGACCTTCGTGTTGAGTTTGAGGCCATGTGGGAAGATGAATGGTGGCATAGTGTTGCCATCACTAGTGATCACTCAAAAACACCTTCGTAATCACCATTAGACTCATCAAACTTTTCTGAATCATCTGCACTGTCCTCAGACACCCAAATATTCTGAAACAGGCATATTTTTTGGAAGGGCCGGAGCCCACGGGCTCGGAAAACCCT